CCAGGATTTGGATTCAGCAACAAGCACGGGTTGAGACTGAATCCTGCAGAGTACAGTGGACTTTGCAATGAAGGTCCCTTGCTCAAGTACCTACACAAAGTCAAGGTCAGAATGAGACCATCCATAGACTCTGATGGCTTTCCATAGGTCCGTATTTCTTTATCTGGTTAGTCAGTCATTTGATATAAAATATAAAAACACCTCCCACATCATACAGTGTGAAGGGCCCACTGTGAAAAGTCGGTCTCCATCCCATCTAAGACTGTTGGTCTCGCCCTCTAGCGTCAGGACTAGGCTGTGGCTGGAGGTGGCAGGTGTCTCTTTCTGCTCTTCTCCAGGTCTGGGAAGGGAGAGCCCAAGGCCCCTGCTCCTCTCCACAGCCCCTTTTAGAAGTCAAGAGCAAACATGGTGAGCCCAAGAATGAAGAGAAAGAAGGTGGACGCCTCCTGGACCAGTGGTCCTCAGCCCTGGTGGTGCATTTGAGCTACCGTCCAGCTCCAGCTAATGGTGCCCAGGCCCCACCCCCAAGGTCCTGCTCTGCTGCCTGGGGGGAGAGGGGGGACGCCTGGCCACTGGTCCTTTCTAGGAACTCCCTTGTTGATTCTAAGATGCAGCCTGGGTTGACAACCTGCTCTAGACCAACCTTCCCATTTCACTGATACAACCACTGACACTCAGTAGCATTTCCACCTGCCAGACATCACACTGGTCACTAGGAGAACATTCTCTTCTTCGGGTTTCACATCGGCCCTACAGGCAGGTACTGAGGGAACTGAGACTTAGCAGGGTTATGTGGCGGTCTCCAAGTTAAACAGCCAGTACCCAGGAGGTCACCCCTGGCCGCACTGGAGGGTCTTCAGTTGCCCTGGGAAGCCCCTCATCTTCCTCCAAGACAGCCCAAGAATCCAGGTGTGAGGGCAGGATCTTCTCCTATCAGAGGACCATTTTGAGAGTTGGCCCTTGGGTTGTGATGAAAATAAATGACAACAGGTGCACATTTGGACAGCATGTCTGGCTTCCTCAAACACACCTTCTTCAGGGCCTCAGTGGCGAGGCAGGGAATCTCAGCAGCCCGGGGCCAGCGAGCTGTTTCTCTAACCATGAGGGATATGCCCTTCAGAAGGGAAACTCACCCCCTTCCTCCATGACATGGGAGATTACAGTTCCGATTTATTAAGCACCTGCGATGTGCCAGACGCCGTTCTAGACTTTCCAGGGATTATCTCATTTCATCTTCGTATCTCGGATGTGAGCACTATGATTCTTCTCATCAAATGGGTCTAATAAGAAAACCCACCTCATGGGGTGTTCCGAGGGTCATGTCAGCTACAGAACTTAAGCACTTAAACTACCGGCACCGAGATTCCCAGTCATTGTGAAAAGGAGGAGACAGAGGGCAAACAATGTGCCCCAGGATATGTAGTCAGTGAAGAGCAGAGCTAGGATTTGAACCTCAGCACTCGGACTTGAGAATTCATGCTCCTAACCACTACATGCACAGTCTCCTTTCCTGCCTTAGGTCCCTGGACCAGGAAACGGGAAAGGGCTGAGCCCCACAGGGGACCAGAAGGAGGAGTGGGACAGGAAGGCCTCAGAGGAGGAGTATGGTTTGGCAGGAGGCTGGCCAGGGGCCAGGCCTTGGGGGAAAGTTAGGCTTCGGTGCCCACAAACGCAGGAATGTATTCATCTCCATAAACACCCACCGCTGGGGTTCACAGCTCAGTCTCCACGAGTGGGATGCGGCACCCAGAAGTGGTTGCTGTGGGTGACCAGAGCAGGTCCAGGCCCACTGGCTCTCCAAGGCCCTTCTTGGAACCTGAAGCTGCCTTATGAGAGTCACAGCTCTGCCCGGGAAGCCCCATGCATTCTTGCCTGTGATGGTGGGGGAGGGGAGGCACCTGTCCCGCGTGTGCTTGGGTGAGAAGCCTTAGCAGGGCCCTCCCAGCAGAGCGTGTGGCGGTTGTGAGTCTGAGCCTGGAGCAGGGTGCTGGATGTCATCAAAAGCCCCGGGGACAGCTGACACACAGACGGGTGGAAAGAAACAGGCTCGAGACACACAGGAATGCCCAGCCTGCAGAGGGCCAAATGCTGTGATGAAGTATCTTCCAGACATGGGCGCCTCAGATTCCAGCCCCAGGAGAGATGCGGTGTACCAGCCGACGAAAAAAGGGTGACACTTCCCAGCACAACAGGGGCCACTTCCCAGGATGTTCCAGAGCCACAGCCTCAGGCGGCCAAGCAAGGGCCTGGTGGCTGGGCCTGCTGTCCTGCTCTCTCAGCTAAACCCACGTGACCCCCAATTTGCTGACCACACATGGGCCTGGAGAAACACAGAATCCAGTGAAGCCACCAGCAGGTCCGGGGACACAGTCGGGCTGGGCAGAGAACCCAGGGCTGGGTAAATTCTCAGGGACATTTGGGTAGGGCTTGCAGCACCGAGTGCCCCCTTAACAAAGCCACCACTGTGTCCAGAAAGGAAAAAGCTATTGAGGGATCTCATGGCTGCTTCTCTCTGTTCCAGGCGAAAGCATTCCCACAGCAGTGTAAAAAAAGAAAAGTTAATTCAAGCCTGGGTGGGAGTGGCTGAGATGGGGCCACACAAGAATACAGAGGGACGGGCAGGCCGAGCACCAGTGGTGTGGCAGGTGTCCTTCAGGGACCTTCCCCCGAATGCCCTCACTTCATCGGCCCCGGAAGTGCCGTGGGATGGCGGCCTTACTCCGTGCTGCAGGTGAGCGAACTGAGAGAGAGGCGGCCCCCCTCTGGGGCCAAAGAACAATATTCAGAGGGGCTAGGAGTGGAAAAGATTTTGGTACAGCTCCCCCGCCGCCCCCTGGCCATTCAATGCAAAATTAATAAATACTACACTGTAAGAGAGGTGCCAGGAAGTCCCAAGCAATTCTGATTTTTCCCATGAGGACAATTTTTCTTCACATCTTTTAAAGCAAATTATTTTCTAGCATTTCCCTCATTTTTTGTGTGTGTCCTGCTTGGCTGGCAATCTAAGCATGTGGCCTGCTTTACTGGTGACCTAAGCATCCAGGGTAAAGGCAGGGAGCCAAGAATCTTAACCCAGTCTGCCTCCAAAGTATCCATGTCCACAACAGCTGGGCCAGACCTCGGGCTGTGGCTCTTACTTTGCGTATCTTTAGACTCTAAATGCACAGGTCACTTTCTGCTCTGTGTTACAGGTATTTGTGTTGTATACCTGTATCTTTGGTCTCTCCAAGCCTTGGGTTCTTAGCTTTGAAACAGGGTCAAAACAGTAATACTGGGGCGTCTGGGTGGCTCAGTCGGTTGAGTGTCTGACTCTTGATTTCGGCTCAGGTCATGATCTCAGGGTCTTGGGATTGAGCCCATGTTGAGCTCCCTGCTCAGTGGGGAATCTGCTTGAGATTCCTTCACCGTCTCCCTCGGCCCCTCCCCCTGCTCCTGCACATGCGTGCTCTCTCTCTCTCTCTCAAATCAAATCTTAAAAACAAAAACAGTAATACTCTGTTGGGTAATACTTGTTTCAGGAGGTTTTAGGGACACCGGAAAGCACCTCATAATCACAAAGTGACATAGGAGATGGGAGACTCTTGATGGCCATGCTGTGGGCTGAATCAGCTCTGCCATGGGACAAAGGGACCTCAGCACAGAGGAGCCCCGTGGCCCACTAGGCTCCCTTTCTTGTGCCCACCCTGTGACAGGCCGCCCGCCCAGTCCACAACCGACCCAGCACCGCCCACAGTCCCCTTCCCCACTCCTCTTCAGCCCTTGGAGGTAGAGGCAAGATCCTCCACTCCCTCACTTCCCTCCCCTTTCCCTCCCCCAACTGTGGGTGGAGCTGGGCAAGAGCTCCCCCCACCCTCCTGAGGGCCAGCCTCTAAGCCTCTGCTTAGAGAATCAGCTAGAAAGAGGAGAGGGAAGGATAAAGCCCCAAGCGCAGTGTCAGCATTATAATTGGGGCTACATTGGTTCTTTCCCTTCCTAATCGGGAGAGAGACCCTACAAGGTGGTTGCTGCTAGTCTCACGTCAGAGATGAGGAGGCTGGCGTGTGGACAGTTTAGGCCTTCCTGACGAGGTCTCTTGGCCAGTACTGGAGGGCCTGGATTCAGCTAAGCCAGGCTGTGTCCTTTCCATGGCCTTACCCCACTGTCAATGGGAATGGGATGGAGGCCTTTCTCCAGAGGTCCCCTCCTGCCAGTAAATGCTTCTCCTGATGACCTCCAGACACCGGAGGTTCAAGGCAGATCTGAAGCCAGACCTGAGGCAGGTGGACTCATTCCTCTGGCCTAGGGCTGTCTGCTCCCTTGAGTAACACTCAGGTCTTGTAAGAGGTGGGCAGAGTCCCACCCACCCCCACTTAGGGACCAGTAGAACACAGCCCCGACAGAAGGGCGTCCACTGACCACAGTGGGAGGACAGGAGTGAGATGTTACAGGGACTGTGGCTGGCAGGACAGACCCGGCAGAGGTCAGGGGGTCTACCTGGAACGGTGGCCCCTTTCCCTAGTCCTTTGGCTTTCTGGAGGATCATCTTTCACATGGTGAGATGCTGTAAAGCCAGGGATGAGGCCTGGGCAGTGGGGACGTCGGGGTTGTGAGGAAAGATGGCATAACCCAGCTAAATGCTGAGTCACCTTCGTGGGAGGACGCAGAGAGCTCCCTGAGGAGTGTGGGAGGTCCAAGGGCCCACTGAGGAGCCCCCCCACCTCAGCCCGTGCTCATACTTGAGAGTCCGAGTCCCATTGTAGAAGGGCCTCAGGTCCTCACGACCAGCCCAGACCTCCCTGTAGAGGCCCAGGCAGCTTCGCTCTGGTAGCCTCAGGCCGCACACTCCATCCCCTGGTCCTCTACTTGAGCTCTGCCACGGCCGGGCCTCCCTCCCAGCCCACCAGAGCGCTTGGGCCAGTCCCGGGCTCTGGGACCGCCCGCCATGCACCTTGGTGACCAGGGGGCCGCGTGTGCAAGGGAGCGGGGAGGGGGTGGTGGGAGGCTGTGGGCCAGGGAGAGGAAGAATGAAGGGGGCACCCAGCAGAGGCTGAGGAGGGCTGCCAGGGCTAGAGGGACACAGAGCTATTGTACACGAAGAGGCAGTCTGTGTGGAGGCAGCAGCCAGCAGGCCAATTTAGTGTTTAGTGTTATTACTCCGGGTTGCCGGGCCTCAGGCCAGGGAAGTTATTTCAGGCAGAGATCAGAGCACATTAATTAGTTATTAGAAGAATGTCCCTTTCTGCATGTTCTTCCTGAGACGAGAAATAGACGCTGTGGTAAGTACCTATAACTGAAAGTGGATGGGCAGTCGGGAGGCAAAGGGCCAAGGGCCAGGAAATGAAGAGGCAGGTCTTTGTTTCCGAGGGAAACGTCCCTCACAGGTTTAGTCCAGGGACAGGAGTTGCTGCGAATCACTGTGCTCAAAGCAAGCAGCAGGGGCGGGAGAGGGCGGGGGGCACTCTGGGCTACCCCAAGGGGGGGCCTTCTTCGCTCTGGGGAAGGGGTGTTGCATCAGCTCACTCTCTTGGAAAGCAACTCAGAAATAGGATTCTTAACATCCAAATGAAAAAGCAGAAGAATTTAAAAACACAATGAAACAGTACAACCTTTGGCCCAGTGATTTCACTTCTGGGAATCTCTGAGAAAACAGTCCAATGTGTGGAAAAATATGCATAGAGGTATTCAGAGTGATTCTGCAATAGCAAAAAATTAGAGATGACCTAAAGCATCCAAAACAAGTGGGCTGGTTAATGAATAATTGCATACACATACAGCGAAATATCATGCGGCTCTTAAAAATAATGCTTACCAAGATTTTTAAAGTTACAGGAAAAAATGCTCCTTTTCTAAGTGAAATAAATTAGCACACAGAATTACATTACGGCATGCTCTCAATTGTGTTATAAGATAGCTAAAAACACTGGAAAGATAGATATATAAATATCTATATCTATCTATATACATGATATTTAAAATGGTTTCCCCTGAGTCATGGGCTTTTGGGTGATTTTTTTTTTTTTCTTCCTCCTCAAATTTATTCTTGTCTACATTTTCCAGTGGGAGGAAAAATAGCTGTTTAGCGGGTTTAATGAAAAGGAGGAATATATGTAATTTGGTTTTGGAGGACTTCCCCATGCTCCAACCCCTCCTACCCTGCTGGTGGACTCTCCCTCGAGGGGGGGATGGCTTTTGATGCTGGAGCTAAATTCAGTTACTACATGAGTGGGGAGGGAGAACCCTTGTACTTGGAGGATAAGAAAGCGAGGGATCTGCCTCTCCCGGCCTTCCTGTCTCCCTCAGATAAGGAAAAATCTATGGCAACTCGACTCTGCCACTCCCTTCAACCCAGTTAACAGCCAGCATGACTCAGGCAAAGCCAGGAGAGTGTCTCAGGCAAGAGGTACTTAAGTCTGCCTCTCCAGGATCCTGCCTCCCGGAGACACTCGCCTTTCCCCATCTTCCCTCCCATTCTGTAAACATTTCCTGGGAGCCTCCAGGAGCTTCCACCCCAGGCGAGGCCCCAGGGAGCTAAGGCACAGTTGTAAGATCTGGTGCTACCGAAGGAGAAGCTCTACGTCATGTCCTGGGAGTTATAACCCAGGTGTGTCCAGAGGGCTAGGGAGGGCTCCTGCAAGGGCAATGAGCCATCCGTGAAGGGCCTGCGCTTCCCGTGGGGCACAAACCAGGCCAGCTGGAGGACAGGGATCACAAAGGAAACCTGGTACAGAACCTAGGGAGCTCCGGAAGTGCCTCTGGCAGCAGAGGCTGCTTCATGAACCAAGGGAAATGGATTCGATCAGGAGTTCTCGCTCTGAGATTCTATGTCAATTTGTGCATTTTTGTGTACATGGATGTGCATTTTCCTAAAGACAGGGCCACAGCTTTCGACAGATTTTCAAAGGATATATTAACCTTTTAAAAAGTTAAGAAAGCAATGGATCAGATCCATTGCTAAGAGCCCTTGTCTTTCTAACAACATAAGATATCCAAAGCCGGTAGCTTCCCACCCCCCACCCCCGGAACCTAACTTCTTTAGAAATCACTCAGCCCCTCAAAGCCGCTGAGCCCAAGGCTGTCCACCCCACAAAGGCAACGCCGATCTGGTGTTCTGTTCAGACATGACGTGTTAGCATGGTGCAAGCCCTGCTCCCAGAATGCTTGGGTACAAGCTTGGTGTCAGAGAAAATTAGTATCTAGAAAATTAGTAACCAGACTGTTAACTTTTCTGCTCTCCTTGCCGAACAAAGCACAGTGCTTTGCATGTTGCAGGTGCTCAGCTAACTGGAATGGAAACAAGATTTGATCTGAATGGAAACAAGAGCACCCTGCTTTGAAACCTCCTGCAGGAGATGAGCACCACTGATTTTGGGGGCCGCTGCCCCCATGGCCACACTACAGGAGTCTGACTCAACAGAGGGCCACAAAGCACCTGCAACAGCTTGGCAATGACTGTAAATGAGGCCAAAGGAAACCGCCTGGCCTTGGGGGTTGTGTGGACTGAGGACTGGAGAGAAGCCTGTCCTGGAAAGATAGGAAAGATGGTCGTCACTCTGGTGGACAATGTACAGACCTCTCTGAGTGCAGGGTGGACAAGCTGACTCCTTGAGTTTCCCTCTGGCCCTAGGATTCTGTAATTCAAGGGAATAGATGACTCACTCTCAGCGCCACGGGCATTTAGCCAAGCATCTCCTCCCATGCATCTCAGCATCCCAGGTGGGCCTCCTACTCAGTTACACGGCTTTGGACGGTCACTTAACCCCTCTACACCTGCCAAGTCAAGGGGCTGGATGAGACCCACCCGCCCACGTCCCTTGCACCTCTAAAAGACGTTAATGTTATTACTGAGTCATTAAGATCAAACAAGGGAAAAGAAAAAAACATGCTTCTGACACTGCTTCTGTCCAGTCTCCAAGAGATCTATGTGGGAACTCTGCTCGGAGAAGGAAACTGATAAAAAGAAGGACCAGTGGCACCGCCCCAGCAGGGGCCACAGAGTCCCAGGCCACCTCCTCAGCTGCAAAACCCCCACGTGAGTGGCTGAGCCCTTAAGAAGGCAAGGGAGGTGGTCCTGGCCATGAAGGGCTTGCCCCTAAAAAGTGAGGGTGTGAGGCACCCCCAACCAGCATAAGGTGCTCTTGTGACCAGGAGTTTTCTCACTGGGCCTCCTGGGCCTCAGTTTCATCATCCACAAAATGGGGAGAATACGGATGGCCCTGAACTTCTTCAAGCCGACCTCTGGAGCCAAGGGCTAAGTCCAGCAGCGAGGCACTAGGTAGGAAGGGGTGCGGGACCAGCAGTGAAATGAGGGGTGGGGGGAGGTAAGCTTTGGACACACACACAGCAGAATGTCTTCAGCGCCCTCCACGGAAGGCTTCCCGCTTGTCCCCAGGCAGGAGGGGCCCCCGGGAGTGAACGGAGGCCGCAGGCGCTGGGCGGCGGGGTGGGCTGCCAGGGCCCCGGGGCCGGCTCACCTGATGAAGGTGGTCTTCCCAGTGGAGTACTGGCCCACCAGCAGGACCATGGGCTTGTTGTCGAAATCGGCATCCTCCAGGGCAGGCGAGTGAAACTCGTGGAAGCGGTAATGCTCTTCCAGGGGCAGCAGCTTGGTCTTGTAGAGTTTCTTGAGCCCCTCGCTCACCGTCTGGAAGACCTCGGGGTCCTTCCGCCGGCGGTCATCGGAGCCCAGCCAGCTGAACATCGCGGCCGCCGCTCGCCCCCCGCGCGCAGCCCCGCGGCCGGCGCCCTTGGCTCCCGGGGCTTAGAGGCCGCTCCGAGCCGCGCCGCCGCCTCACGCGAGCGCCGGGCTCGGCCGCACCATGGCCGGACGCGCGGCGCGGGGAGGGGGGGCGGTCCCTGGGGCGGCGGGAACGCACCCGGCCCGAGCTCCTGGGGCCCAGCCCAGCGCCAGCCGCCAGCCGCCAGCCGCGGCCAAGGCGGGGTGGGGAGGAGAAATAATCAGAGCGGGGCAGAAAGGCTGCGATCTCGGAAATTAAAGTCAAACCTGCAAAGAAACTGCCAGATGCCGGGGTGCGATGCCGGGTCCCCGGCCTTCCCCCCCTCTCCCCCGACCTCTCCAGCCCTGGCCCCGGTGCGGCGAGCGGATGCTGCGGCTCGGCTCCTGCGCGCCCGGCCGGCTCAGGAGGGGCGGCGGCGTGGCCCAGCCCGCGGACAGCTCAGCAGCCGCAGCCGCAGCCCGCGGCCCCGGGCGCCGGTTTAAATGCCAGCCGTGCAGGAAGCGGGCTCGCGGAGGAAGTCCCCGAGTACTGGCAAGGCCAGCCGGGCCCGGCGCCGAGAAGCTGAGCAGGGCGCCGCCATGTGTGTGGGCAGGCGCTCCGCGCGGGGGACCGGCGACCGCAGCCTGGGGAGGGAGGGATGCTGAGTCCTGTGGGAACGCTCCGGTATTTCGGTCCGGGCCTCTGGAGGTTTGATTTGGGAACAGCGCCCTCTCAGGGACAGCTGTGAAGACAGAGCTGACCCGCTCCACCCTCTCCTTGCTTTTGAATAGCCTAGCCTTTCCTTTAGTTACCGAGGCCAATGCCTTAGGAAGACAGGTACTCTAGCACCTGGGAACATTTTCCTTGGGGCGTGGAAAGAAGAATCCGATATCAGGTTACACAAAATGACCACAACTGTCAATACCCCAACTTTTTGCTAGATCTAGGGTGAAGTCAAAACCATTCCCATTCATTCATTCATTCATTCATTTGTCCATTCCTTCCAGTAAAACAAAACCAAACAAGCAAAACTCCCACAGGTGGTGAGTGGGTCTTATGGGGCAGACACAATTATGGTGACTGTGGATACACAGTTAATCACAAAGATGAGCACACACAGACTCTCCCTCGCAGGAGCTCCTTTCGGGGTGAGCTGTAAGGAGGAGCCATGAGCAGAGGGCCATGGGTGCGCAGGGGGAGGAGGCATTCTTTTTGTCTGTGTGATCTGAGGAAGGCTTCCCAGAAAGCATGACCATGTCCTGGATCCTAAATGATGACTCCTCAGAGAAGCAGAGAAGACATCCCAGACCGTGTACAGGGCTTTGCAAAGGCTTGGGAAGATGGAAGAAGTCAGAGTAAACAGTTTCTATATCTAGAGCATAGGAGGGTGGAAGGGAGTGAGCGAGGCCAGTGCAAAAGGCTTTGCTTGCCAGAGCAGGAATCATATAGGAAATAGGGACCCAATAGTACTGCTTAACTGTTAACATTAACTAAGCGCTCAGAATGTGAAAGGGGCTGGGCTAAGCTCTCATCGAGCATGTTCCATTCACCCTTCACGGCAGCTCTGGGCAGAACATATTCTTTCCAGGGCTGCACCAAGGACAACAGGGTGGTACATGTTGGCCACGTTAGGCAAAAGGGGTGGCATTGTCTGTAGGGAATTTAAACACAATAAAACAACCAACTCAAAGTCAATCTGCTTTATATTAGCACCATTCTAAACCATGCCAGTGATAAACTCCTCCCCACCAAGGTGGATGGTGCCTTCCACAGATGAAGACACAGTATGCAAATGGTCCAGGCGGGACTGCTGATGCTGGGAGCAGTCAGGGAGGGGCTGGAGAGGCAAAAGAGCCTGGCGGCCAAAAGAGGCAATAGTTTCCGATGAGGAAACACTATTCAAAAATTTACAAGACAGTGGCAATTAGGATGGGGAAAAGGTGGTATTCAAGAGACTTTTTATGGCATAGAATTGACAGATCCTGGTAAGCAATAAAAAAGAAGAAATGAAGGTAAGGCAGAGTCTGGGATGATTCTGAATTTTCTACTGTAGGAGACAAGATGGTTGGAGACACTGGTCTACCAGTCAGAGGAGTCAGGAAGAGGGCAGATTTAGCATTTAAAGATGAGGTGTTCAGTTACTGGATCATAGGGTATTTCTATTTTTAATTTTTTGAGGACCCACCATACTGTTTTCCACAGTGGCTGCTCCAGTTTGCATTCCCACCGACGGTGCTCGAGGGTTCCCTTTTCTCCACATCCTCTCCAACACTTGTTATTTCTTGTCTTTTTGATTCTTGCCATTCTGACAGGTGTAAGGTGGTAGCTCATTGTGGTTTTGATTTGCATTTCTCCGTGACTAGTGATGTTGAGCATCTTTTCATGTGACTATACTTCTCATGGTGAGCACTGGGTAATCTGTAGAATTGTTGAATCATTATATTGTATACCTGAAACTACTATAACTCTGTATGTTAATTATACTTCCACAACAAAAGAATAACAATGAAAATAAATGTAGATGATGTGTTCAGTCTGAAACATGTGGTGGTGGAGAGAGGTGTGGGAGCTCCACGTGGAAGAGTATGGTGAAGCTGCAGGGATTTGGGTAGGGATTATCAGAGGTGGGTGCTGGCTAGAATCTCCTCACTTACAGCTCAAATCTCCTGATTCCCTCCTTGAACCCCAGAGCTGATTGCTTCTTTCTGAGCTCTTTGTACCCCTGTTGGAGTAACCACTTGGATTAATATTCACCCTTGGTATTGGGGCACCTGGGTGACTCATTTAAGTGCCCAACTCTTGGTTTCAGCTCAGGTCATGATCTCAGGGTCCTGAGATCGAGCCCCGTGTCGGGCTCTGCACTGGGCATGGAGCCTGCTTGAGATTCTCTCTCTCCCTCTCCCTCTGTCCCCCTCCCCCACCGTGCGGAAAAAAATATGTATATATATATATATATTTCACCCTTGGTGTTTATGTGCTGGGTGTAGAGATACAAAAGGGAGTGAAAAGATATTACAGTACATAAAACCAATAAAACAGCCTCCAAAATACATAATTAATGCCTGTACATCTATAAGAAAAAGGAAAACATTCCAATAGAAAAACCGATAGAAAAAAATGTCAGAAGACACAAAAATTCCTCTTACAAAAGTGTTGACATGAATGTCCTATAGACATAAGAAAAGATGTTAGACCTCAGTAGTAGTATCTGGAACTTGGGGAGGTCTGGGTCTGTCCAGGGGGAGAGGCCAGCAGCCAGAGTGTCAAGGAAGAAGTCAGGGGATTCCATTGTGGAAATATTTCAATATTTTAGTAACTAGTACAACCATGGTGTTATGTACCACTGAATGTCAGCCCTGAGTGTCTAATTTGTGGAGTACCTGTTGACACATCTAACTCTAGTTCTCAGTCCTGAAGAGTTCTTTGGAAAGGAACCGAATAATAGTTCAGCATTCCTACATACTAGCAATAGTTATAAAAAAGAATTTTTTTTAAAGATATGGTTTATGAAAAAAAAAAAAAAAAAAACCCTAGGGAGAAATCTAACAAAAGATGCTCAAGAAAATGATAAAACTTAATGGAAAGACATTAAAGAAGTGCTAAATAAATGGGAGAGTCACACCATGTTTAATTCTAGAAAGATTCCAGGTCTCAAAGATGAGAATTTTTTACAACATTATTGCTAGATTCAATAATTGATAGGATTTAAATTAAAATCCGAATAGGGTTTTCCCTGGAAGTCAACAAGGTGATTCTAACAATACTCCAAGAATAACTAAGATATTGAAGAAGAAGGAAGAGGAGAAGGAGGAACTGGGGGAGAAGGAGGAAAAGGAGGAGGGAGAAGGAGAAGACAGTAACACCAATAGAAATAACTAGGTGAAGGGAACTTGCCCTAGGGGACGTCATTACCAAGTTGCAATGGTTAAGATGGCATGGTTTTGGTGCAGAGATAGAAAAATAGGACAATGACACAGTAAAAGAGCCAGTCAATGTGGAAACCTGATATACAGAAAAATTGCAATAGATATCACATATATACTGCTACAAGGTCAGGAAGAACGTTTTCAACAAAACACCGAAAGCATAAGCTGCAAATGAAAAGATTAATAAATTTGGCATTGGTAAACGTAAGCAGTGGTGCTCAACTGAATAGACAAAGAGAGTGAAAAGATATTTACAATATATACAACCTTATTAGTAGTTAGAGAAGCACCACACCACCATGAGATAACACTTCACACCCACCAACGTGGCCAAAAATAAAAAACGGTGGACAATACCGAGTGGTAGCAAGGATGTGGCACAGTGGGTACTTCCACATACTGTGTGATGTGTAGATTGGCACAAACACTTTGGGAAGCCATTTGGCATTATCTGGCAAAGCCAAAAACATGCACGACCTCCACTCTGCAACTCCGATGCTAGGTGTGATCTAGAGAAGCTCCGTACACGCGCCCGGAGAGATCAGGGTCGGAATGTTCGTGGTAGCTCTGTGTGAGGCAGCCAAATATTATAAACAGCTACATTTCCCTGACCAAGAAGGTGGATAAATACA